GGGGGGGGGGGGGGGGGGGGAGGAGCAAAAGCCAAGAGGGAAGAAAGAACATGATAAAAGGGAGAGACGTTTGCCATGCTCCTCCTCTCTCTTTCACCTCCATCTACAGACATCACCACCAACTGACTGAAGCGCTGATCAAAGGAGAGAGCCTGGCTGAAGGGCAACCAGCCAGCCTGTGATGAGAAGCATCTAAGTTTGTAAGGGCACCGAAAGTGTTAAGAGCAGCTTAGAATGCGTTTTGCTTTTATTTCATTTGACCAAATCTGACTTCTTGTGCTCTGACTTATAATCACTTAAAATCTACCTTTGTGGTTAATAAATCTGTTGGTTTGTTCTACCTGAAGCAGCATGTTTGGTTTGAAGCATGTCAGAGACTCCCCTTGGGATAACAAGCCTGGTACATATCAATTTCTTTGTTAAATTGACGAACTCATACAAGCTTGCAGCATCCAGCGGGCATAACTGGACGCTGCAGGACGGAGGTTCCTAGGGTTGTGTCTGGGACCGGAGATATTGGCTAGTGTCATTCGGTTGCATAATCCAAGGCACAGCTTACTTGCCAGAGGCTGTGCGTGAACAGCCCAGGAATGAGGGTGCTCAGAGCAGGGTCAGGCTGGCTCCCAGAGTCAAGGATTGGAGTGACCTAGCAGATCACCGGTCCAGACAGCACCTGAGGGGAACATCACAAGCATTTTCTCCTCACCCTGTCTGGCAGCCTAGGGGAAAGTGCCCTAAAAACACCAAGCCCACACCCCACAAGCTCTAGTCCCCGCTCTTCCCCAGATGGGGGAACATTTCTGTCCCTGCGCGTGAGCCAAGGTGCCGTACTCTGGGGTAACTCATTGCCCCCTTGGCACGTCAGCCGACACCAGCGGATCTCCCAGCACTTTACAAAGGAGGTGGGAGCTCCATGTGAGACAGGGAAGCTGAATCACGGAGCGGGGAAGGAACTTGCCCGAGGTCACTCAGCAGGCCAGCTGCAGAGGCAGGAATGGAACCCAGCTCTCCTGCACCCTAGTAGGGCCACCCTTCACAAGATCCCTTCAGGCTAAGCTGGGCTAGACTCCCCATCTCTCCTGCAGCACAGTCGCAACGCTCAGCCATGTGGCCACACTGTCTGTCAAGAGCAAATTAGGTGCCGACGTAACCTATGCTAGCGCCCTGCAGCTCAATCACCAACTACAGAGAGCGACTCATGACACTGCTACTTTGCTGGGGGGCTGGCTCGCTCCCGGGAGCTCCAGAGGCTCCAGGTTTTCTGGCCAGAGCTTGCAGGTTCGTTTCCCACCTCATGCCCCAATAACCCAAATGGGGCGTTGTTCCCCTGGGGTGCACTGCCTGTAACCACTCGATCCTGCTCTGCTCCTGGAATGGACACAATTAATCCTGAGACCTGATGCTCTGCTGCGGTCTGCCATTCTTGTGTAACCCGCTGGCAGTGTGTGTAGTGTCTCCCGCAGGGGCTGATCCTCACTGAGGGTAAGAGCCTGGTGTCCCACCTCACAGGCGGCAGAGGTCTGCTCTGTAAATCGGAAGACTATGAACTCAGGCCCGGCAAAAATACATATCTGGTATGCAAGTTAGCGCCAGCACCCTGGGTGAGTATACACTGCTGAACCGTGTCCTAAGCAGGGAATTTGGAGCTTGTGCTAATACTTGTTTTACTGATGCACTATTATTAGATGTGGTTAACGGGAGCTACCCCTTTAAGAACAGGGTTCGGGCAGACAGCGTTTGAGACACAGACATTGGGTGCAGGAAGAGAACACACTGCCTGGACAAGCTTCAGACTAACACTTTTCCTTCCCCAGAAACAGCCTCATTCCCCCAGGTGTGACATTCGCACCGCTAGGGCCTGGCTGCCTTGGGCTTTGCTCATGAGCTGCAGAGACTCCCAGCTGGAGCGCACCAGCCTGAATCCAGCCCAGCAGGAGTTCGCAGCGGTTCCCATCTAAGGGGTGTCGGTGGAAGTGAGCTGGATCCTGGCTCCCACGTCTCTCTCACACACGCACACCCGTTCTTTGCACTGTGAACTCTCCAGGCAGGGACCGTATGCCTCTGTACGGTGCCTGGTACAAGGGGGCCCCGATCTCGGCCGGGTCCTCGAGTGAGACCTCCTGCAGCAAGGGCCAAAGCCGCCGCACCCTACAACTCTACCTGTTGTGCACACGCTGGGGGAGGTGGTCAGACAATTTAACCTTTTAAACAATTTCATGATCTCAGGGCTGGCCACATGGCCGTTCGGTCGCACAGCTGCTGCCACCAGCATGGATGTGCAGCTGTTGGATCACCCTGATCCTGTCCCTGTCCCTGCTGGCAGCAGCATCACCCACAGACTTTATCCCCCTCCCGCAGTTCAGTAGGGAGGACATTAGACAGCCCCCTGTGGCCCCCATTCAATTCTCTGCTGTTTCTCAGTGCCCTGCCTTCAGAGACCACCAGACAGTTTACTGCTCTGTCCTGGGAGGGGCTGCAGACTGGGGAGTGGGATGAAGCTGGACCTACCGCGAGGGGCTGCAGATTGGGCAGCTGGCATAGAAGTCGGTGAATCTCAGGCCCCTGGCCGCCATCTTGTCCAGGTTGGGCGTGGCTGAGGTGGGGTGCCCATAGCTTCCCAAATCTCCAAACCCCAGGTCATCCGCAAAGATTAACAGGACGTTGGGAGGGTTTGTGGATGCAGAGAGCAAGACCAGCAGGCCCAGGGGACAGAGGAGCCAGATACACGCCCACCTCATGTCCCCAGAGGCCCCCCGAGCATGGACAGGACTCTGTCTCAGCAGGCCCTCCTCTGGTCATCCAGATATCCCAAGCTGCCCACTGCCCGGGCAGGGCCGCTCCACCCAAGACCTGCCAGGGAGAAAACAGTTTAGCACACAGTAAAGTCTGCACTACAGCGCTGGATCACATTAGCTAACTGCTTCTTGCAGCAGGCCTTTCAATCCCAGTCCCGGCAAGCCCAGGGTGTTCTGGGGGCCAGAGGTGCAAGGGCTCCCAGCCCCTTTTCTGCAGAGCAGGCCGCAGCAGAGCCAAGGCCCCTGCCCCACAGGCTGGCAGGAAGGGCTACGGAGACTCCCGGAGCAGGGTGTGATCCAGGGCAAAGCAGGCAGGGGAATCTGGCCTGTGCACTGAAGCTCCATGTTCCCTGCAGAAAGAGGGCGGTTTGAATCAGTCTCACTCCTTCTACGGGAGCTTCAATGCGCAGGCCGGATCTCCCCCACCCCCAGCCTTTCCCTGGATCTCACTCGGCTCCTCCCTCCCCTCCTGGCAGCCGGCAGAACCCTCCGAGCCAGGCTGCGGGGCCGGGGCCTGGTGCTGCTGCCGCCTGCTCTGCAGAATAAGGGGCTGGGGAGCCCTGGGTCCTGGGCTCGAGGCTGGGGCCACAAAGCCCTAGACTGGTGAGAGTCGCACCGCAGGCGCTGGGCAGGGGGCAGCCGGGCAGGGCAGGGGCGGGGCAAGCGCAGGGCAGGGCAAGGGGCAGCGCCCAGGGCAGGGCAAGGGGCAGCCA